TCTAAGTCTAAACTAAAATATAATTATATTTTATCTCCTTTATTCCCTTTTGTTTCATTTTTCATTTTGCAAACTTTACTTAAAAATAGGAGACTGTTTCTATTTACCCCTAAAAACTGGAAATTCGGGGTAAAAACAGACAAAACTTCGATAATAATGAAGAAGAATATTACTACAAACCAGGATATAAATTTCAAATACTTCTGCGTATTTTCGGTACAACTGAATGCGAATACGATGACAGATTTACCAAATCGTCTGCCATATATAGGGCCGTGGAGAGCCGGGACAGGCCCCGGGAAAATTAACAAGGGCGGGCCCCATAATAGGGTTATAAAAACATAAATTATTCTCTTTTAATAAAAATCTGATTTTATTTGAATTATTTCAGACATTAAATTTTCATTAACAAAAACAGTTCAAAAATAAAAAAGTGCCAAATTACCAAAATTCCAATATAATTTCCAATATATATGCCCAAGCAGCACCGAAAGTTTCCTAAAAATTTATTAAAGAGTTTTCATTAAAAAGTTTTCAAGTAAATCTTTACTAAATTTTTAGGAAAGTTGCGGTGCTGTGCGGGTGTAAAAAGTAAAGAAATTTTAAAAAACATTAAAGATTCAAAAAATTTATATTGGAACCATCCAGGAAAAAGTTATGTTGTATAAAAGATTTTTGTAGAAATGGAATCGGATTTTTTATCTTCAGATAAATTATTGGTTTAATGACGCTTTTAAAGAACGGAACTTTTAATCTTTGGAAAAAAACTTTTAGAACTTTTGGTCTTTGGAAAAAAGGTTTGGAACTTATGGTATTTGGAAAAAAAAAGTTTTGGAACTTTCGGAAAAAGAAACTTTGGAAATTAAAATCTTTAGAACTTTTGTCCTCCAACCTCTTTTCCTATTTATTAAATTCTGCTTTCGATTTTACGATTTCTTCTAACATTGGAATTCACCCTAAAATTTGGTTTATACTAAATTTTTTTTAAACCCAGAGTGACCGGGCCTCGGGGAATTTAACTCTAAGAGTTAACACCACTCTAGAGACAGAAAAAGAGACCTATCTTTGATGATTTCTTTTGAGAAAATGGAATAGGATTTCTTTTTCGAGGGTTTATTAAATACATATTAAAGTGTGGAGAAATTTATTTTTTTAAATTATACAATTATATTATACAATTTTATAAATTTTTTTAATACTATAAACTTTGGAAGTACATATGGATTTTTTAATTGGATGTAAGCTTTATTTTTTATAAACAATTTACTAATTATTTTTTTATTTCAAAAAGCCGATTAATTTACTCAAAAAGTGCCATTTTAACTAGAATTAATATAAAAAAAATTTTATTCTTAAAAAGCTATTGAGGTGATTTTTTTTTAAATTGCCCGAGTCGAACTTTTAGACCTGCTTACCTCCTTAAAACTGAGGGTTTGTAAGGATGTAATAGGATGAAAGCAGAGTTTATTTGCATTGCAAGTTAACTCTGATTACCTCCTGCAAACCCCTGGTTAGCGACAAATTTAGATGGTAAAAGGAGGAAAGCAGGTGTTCCTAGAACCTTATTAAATACTGCTTGACCCTTACTTACAGAATTCTTTCCTCTCCCAAAACCCTGGAAAAACTGCTCATAGCATATTTGAGATCATTTTTAACTAATTTTTATAATAACTTTAATTATTAATAAATGGCATTATTTGTAAATCCTTTTTTATTCGATTATCGGAAGAGTGATAAATGAAACAATGTTACATTAGTTGTACATTAGTTGTGCACAACTAATGTAACATTGTTTCATTTATCACTCTTCCGATAATCGAATAAAAAAGGATTTACAAACTTCAACAACGGAAGAAAAAAATCATCTATATAAATGGCATTATTATTTACTGATTTTTAATTTTTTTTAATTTAATCGTGACTAATAGCGAATTCATAAATAATGTTAGTATATATGTGAGGATTAATACATATCCATTTATATATAAAAAAAATTTTTTAAATTAAATATTTGGTAATTAAATTATTTAACGGTGTATATAATCATTAAATTGCATACTTATAACTATACAATACAGAAAAATCGGAATAAACGCAAACCTACGAAATAAATAAAATCTAACGCACGCGAGACTTGAACCTACGACCTACGGAACTACGGACTACGAAACTAACGCCCTAACCACTATGCTACGGAACCTAACTGAACACAGACGCTTTATTTTCAGTGACTTGTTGAGTTATTGGTTTTGGTGATTCAATAAAGCATTTATTAACACTAATACACTACAGCAAATAAATAAATTGTTTAATAATAATAACCTACTTTAAACATTCATAAATTAATATTTTTATTATTAAAAAAAAATGTCAAAACATTTCAGTTAAAAATAATATTTATAAATTAATAATAAAAAAGTACATGTTTCGGTAACCTATTCGCAGTTAATTTTAAAAAAATTTTTTTTTTTCAAATATTTTCAATATTAAAATTAATGTATTGAAAATCTTCGAATTGTTGCAAAGAATTTTATCAAAAAATTTGATAATAATAGAATTCCTTCAAAGAATTTCTTTATTTAGAAAAATAACTAAATTCTCGCGAAGAATTTTATTAATATTTTTAAAAATCCTAATTAAATTCTTTTGAAAAATTTCTTTGAATTTTTTTTAAACTAATGGAGTTTCTTTAATAATTTTAATTGAAAATTTCGAAAGCAATTGCATTTTATGAAGAAGAATTTTATTAAAATTGTATTGAAAATAATTGATTTCTTGCGAAGAATTTTAGTATTTATCAAAATAATTGAAAGGTTTCGAAGAATTTATTAAAATTTAAAAAATTAATTGCAATTTATGAAAATATTTAAAAATATTTGAATTCATCTAAGGAATTCAATTAAAATTGTTTTGAAAATAATTGAATTCCTGCAAAGAATTTTACTATTTATAAAATTAATTGAATTCTTGCGAAGTATTTTACTATTTATAAAAATAATTGAGTTTTTTCGAAGGATTTATTAAAATTTTAGAAAATAATTGAATTCTTTCGTGAAATTTTTAAAATAAAAATTTTGTAATTTGCATAACAATAATAAGTTGTATATCTCGTTCCGCGCGTAACATTTGCTATTGTAAGAATATGTATTGTAGAAGCAATACAGGGTTTAAGGTTAAATTAGGACTTATTGGCTGTTTTCGGCATTCACCCAGGGTTAACCCCGAGTTAACAATTATCCAATCATCAACAACATTCTGTTGGATCTAACCAATCACCGTTAACCGGGAGTTAACCCGGGGCGAGTGCCGAAAACGGCCAAGGTAGTACGCTCGTGATCGCACTTTTCTATAGAATTTCATGAAATTTGAAATCAGAATAGTTAATAACAAGATCTATGTATTTGCAAAATATTAAAAAAATTGACCGTTTCTAAAACAAGATATTTAAGTTCAAAGTTTGTTATTTAACATGGTTAACCTATGAAAAGTGCATGTAAACGGCACATTTCTTCTAATAACTTTTAAAATTTTCTATAGATTGTTTTAAAAAACTAATATATTATAAATGAATGTTTGAGAAATTTATAACAAAAAGATTTAACAATATTAACCGTTTCAGTTAAAAGATATAATATAATATAATATTCTAATCTGACTAGTATACTTGTGTGTGAGTGTGTCTGTACATAGGGCTGACTATGTATTCAGTACAGTCCAAGCAAAAATATGCTACAGTAACTGCACCATACTATAGCATTTTATTAAAATTTACTTTTGAGAGTGACTGTCGCGAGCGTACTACCTTAAAAAGGAGTTGCCAGAGTTAAATAGAACTTACGCAGGAGGAAAAAAACACCAAGGGTTTGTTAGGTGCAGGTTAGGATTAAATTATACTTACCAGGAGGTAAGCAGGTCTAAAAGTTCGACTCGGGTGTCTATAAAAAATACACTTTCCACTGAAAACTTTTAGAACAAAAATGTATTCGATACTTTGTTGATATTAAAGAAAAGAATTTTGATTTTTTAAAAAACTCCAGCTTTCTTTTTGTTAATTTTTTTTGTGGTGGTGGTAGTATATATACTTACCTCTAATTACTCTGTGAATTTCAAAAGGGGATCTGCATAACTTTCTGAGAAATAAGTAAAAATGTATAATGCTGTGGCACAAATTTTTAGTTTTGTATAATGCAAATATGGCTCAATTTTAAGATCTTGCTACAGATGCTCGTTTGCTTCCTGTAAATAAGTTAGAAATTTTAGAAACCCACAGCATTGTGCATTTTTATTTATTTCTCAGAAAGTTATGCAAATCCCATTTTGAAACTCACTGGGCAGCTAGAGGTAGGTATGAACTATTGCCACAAAAAAAATTAACTATAAGAAAATGGAAGTTTTTTCAAAAATCAAAAATTTTTCTTTAATATCAACAAAGTATCGAATACATTTTTTTCAAAAAGTTTTTAGTTGCATTCAAGAGAACAATAAAGCACAGTTTCATCTTACCCCATACAAGAAGGAAATTTCCATGATCACTTACTATGGAATTGCTCTTTTGCTAAGTAAATAGTTTCCTGTTCATCTAAGGTATATATGACTTATGAGGTAAATTAAAGTAGACTTAACTTCGAGTAAATCTGTCGCAAGATCGTCTTTTTATCATGAATAGAATAGATAATAATAATTATAACCCTTTTTATAAATATTTATTTTTAACAACTGTTGCTTTTTACCACTCTTTTAAAAAAAAATTCTCTCGCTATCGTTGCAATCTCTACTTGTCAGAAACTAGATATATATCCTTGTATTAAAATATAGAAATATAAAACGACGATTCTCAAAAAGGGTCTCCGATTTTTTTCATTTTAGTCAAGATTTATACCAAGGTGGATCTACTGATACTTCAAACATTAGATATATCTCTTTTACAGGCTTTTGTTTGATAATTTCAACAAACATTTGATTTCTAAATGTTTTTCTCAAGTAACATAATTCTCTTTTAGCAGGACAGATCAGTTACACCTCCAAGTGCATCTCATCGACCTCCATCAGCAGATCCAGCTTCTGGAGCAAATTTGGAACCATCTTGGGGTGCCTGGAGTCTCCCTCCTGCCAGAGTACCACCTCCTCCAGCTACAGACGATCCACCAAAAACCACACCAGTTCGCGAGTACCGTTGCAGCTATTGTGGAAAGCAATTTGGCATGTCATGGAATCTTAAAACTCACTTGAGAGTACATACAGGCGAAAAACCATTTGCGTGTAGATTATGTGTGGCTATGTTTAAGCAGAAAGCTCATTTGCTTAAACATCTTTGTTCGGTGCATAGAGGTGTTATTGCAGCTCCTGATAACACTTTTACCTGTTGCTTCTGTTCTTTAAGCTTTGATAGCTTACAGGAGCTCATTAGGCATCTTTCAGGTCCTCACAATAATTTGTTACTCAGTAAAAATCTGCACGATTAACGACAAAGTTGAAAATAATATGGTTTAAGAAAATCTCGGAATTCCTGAATCTTATTTGACTCATTAAAGTACAAATTATGCATTATGCCTCAATAAACACCGATACATGTTAAACTTATACAATTATATAATAATATACAATTGATAAAATTTATGTTTTATAAGACGGTAAGAGTTATGTTTTTAATTAAGGGGAGGTTCTCATTGCAGAGGCCAAAATAAACACAAACTTTGACAATTTTTTGCAAAGAACGGCTATGACTTAGCGATTTAGTTTTTTTTCTAAATAAAGATACATTCTTGAACTTTTACAACATATATTTCATTTTCAAAAAAATGCAAAATGGCGGCCAATATGGCGCATCTAGAAAATAATGTTTTTTTAAATAAGGAAAACGGTGGGCATTCTACACTGGTCAATTTTTAGTCTAAAACAGAAACTCAAAATTTTTTATAAAGATGACATCCTAAAGAATAGGTTATACCTATAAAATAGTTAAAAAGTTAACAAAATGACAAAATGGCGGACACATTTTTAAAAAAACTGCGTTTTTGCATTATTTTTCCATATTTGACCTCTTGTAAAAATCTGTATTGTTAACAATTTTATCATATTATAGGTATAACCCCTGTAGAATTTAGTTACCTTTAATAAACCACAAACCCGAAGTTGATTGATTAAATAGTTTAGACGCTACGATGCCCACCAGTTTAAAAAATCTTGTTTCGAGAAAAACGCGTTTAGCTTGAAAAACATTTTTGTGCAATAATTGTATTCTTTGCAATTCTTTGTTCAATTTGCGTATATGATAAATATCTATAGGTATTTAGGGTCTCTCTTTACGATTCTGAGGTCAGATTTGCAAAATTTTTAAAAATTGATGTGATTTGCCTGACATTTGTTACTTAGTGCTCGGGACGTCGGTTAGTTCAAGACTCTATAAAATCGAAAATATTCTTCGGATCAAAAAATCGGTATACACACATATTCTACATATATATAGCTTTCAAAAAATACAATAAAAAAGAAATCAATTTTTTTGACTCCCGCGATGGGAACCTCCCCTTAAATAAGCGTAAATACTGACAATAACAGCTCTCACAGCATCCGGTTATTTAAATATCCTATGAATGTTCTAGGAATTACCACTGCACTATTTCGTGGAAATTAAGATATTCATGGGATGTTCCAGAAATTTTCGTGGATATCCTACCGATATCATAGGAATATCCTAATTTTCGGGTATGCCTAAAAGTTTATAGGATGTCGTCAAATATCCGTTGCTGTTAGGGAAATCCATAATTTTTTCATTTAAAAGAAAAGCTTTTGAAACTAATATTTCACTATTAAAATTAAATGGAACAAATAAATTTTAAGACAATGAAATTGTCAAATTTTTTATGTATAAAATTTTCTTTTACTAGATGTTTCACTTTTTAAATTTTGAATACAGCAAATTTATTTCTCACGTGTATACTACCGTCGGAAATTAACGGTACTGCTGCAAGCGCACGGCCCAAAAATATAGCAATCTTTAAATCACGATTTTTTTTGTAAATACAGATGTCAAAAAATAAACAAATGCACCGTTTGAAAGCTTATACAGGGTTGATACAAAAATTTAATTTTGTATTTCCCTGACTTTTCCCTGATTTCCAGACAAAATTTTGTCTTTCTCCCTGACCCCAAAGAATATTCTGATTTACTAGCTAAAAATTATTAAATACTAAAAACAATGTTCTACTACATTTATTTATGAATTTCTCTAATTGTAAAATTATTTGAAAATAACAATAACTTCTTTTTTTAAATAAATATTTAAACATTATTATTTTTCTATAGGAATTAAGATTTTCAAAATGTTCATTATTTTATATTATAAAAGAATAATATTACTGTAACTTCTTCAAAATTATTTTCATCAATTTAATTCAATTATTATTTTTTAGAATTTTTAACAAAAATTTTTCTTTAAATCAATTATTTTTAATCATTTCCAAACCCATTTATTTACTATTCAATTTTACACAAAATTTTGTTTATTCGAAAATTCTTCAATTAATTATATATTAGAAAATAAAAGCATGAAATATTTTTTTTTTTAAATTCAGTTAAACTTTTTTAAAAAAAATTAATTCTGCAGAATTGTTATATAAAAGTATGAAAAATTCAAATTTTCAAAGATTTTAATTTAAAACCTTTACAAAATTAAATTATTTCTAAAAATTTACGCTGTAATGCTTTTAATGTTGAATTATTATCTAAAATTTTAACTGAAATCCATTTTTTAATCAATATTTATTAGAAAATTCTACGAAAATCCAATTATTTATTTATTTTATTATTTTACAATCAATTAAGTATAAAAGTAAATACATCATTTATTGAATAATTGAATGTTTCTCAAAATTGAATTCGCATAAAGAGTTTTATAAAGTTTTATAAAGAGTTTTATTCTTTCTACGAATTTTAATAAAATTTTTAAGAATAATTACATTTTTTGGAGGAATTTGATTAAAATTGAATTAAGAATAATTGAACTCCTGAAAAAAATTTTATTATTTCCGAAAATAAATGAATCTGTGTAAAAAATTGCATAGTTTATGAAAATAATAGAATTATTACGAAGAAATTTCTAACAAATTTGAAAATAATTGAATTCATTGTAAATAATTGAATTCCTATGATATTTTTATTATTTTTGAAAATAATTAAATGTTTTCGTGAAATTTTATCAAAATTTGTTTTAAATAATTGAATTCTTTTGGAAAATTTTATTAAAATAGTTCCTATTAAAAATCATTAAATTAAGGAAAATTTTTGAAAATAATTGAAATTTTGCCAAGAAATGTATTAAATTTTTTGGAAATAATTGAATTTCGGAGAAGAATTTAATTATTTATAAAGATAATTGAAATATTGTCGAGAACTTTTTTAAACTTTTGAACATAATTGAATTTTTACAATCATTTGTAACTTCTCCAGAATGCAAATTTTTTTATTGTTTTTAACTAAAATTCTTCTATAAATCCATTATTTTTAATAATTAATGAGATATATATTTTTTTAAATATAATTATATATAACTAATTTCAGATAAATTTGAAATATTACAATTTTTCAAGAATCTAAGTTCTTTAAAATTTCTAATTAAATTCATTCAAAATTGACGTTTTATAAAATTTCAAATTAATACCTTTTCAAGTTCATCTATTTATGAATGAAGTTAATTAGTTAGAAATTATTGTCAAAAATAGAAAAAATTAAAGGTTTCTTGGTAATTTTATAGTTTACGAGGCAATAAAAAATAACACAAAAGTTCAGAATTTTCTTATGAATTCTAAAAATTTAATTTTTTCCAGTACTTTTAATAAAAATTTCTGACCTTTTCCTGACCTGGGGCAACCCTGTTATAATATTCTACGTTAAATGATATACAATTGGAAACTTTAATAAATTTCACAAAGATTTTAGCAATCGACAAATTTTAAAAACAAATAAAAAATTAAAATATTTTTGACAATTTTTTATTTATTTTTAATTTTGTCACATTTTTAAAATTTGCAAATATAATTTTAAACTTATATAGGTGTCATCCTACAAGTCTCATCTTTCATTTAACACCAGAAAAGTGAGATTTCATTGTAAATGTCAGACCATATTTTTAGACAAATGCATTGAATTAGTCAATTTTATACTGTTTTTGACTGAAAATATAATGATATCTCGCGAACCATATAAGATTTTTTGAAACTTTTTTGGTGTTAAATTGAAGATGAGAATTGAAGGATGGCAGCTATATATAAGTTTTTGAACTATGCGCGTGGAGCTTTACTGATAATTTCCGACGGTAGTGTAAATATTTTTGAAAATTTTTGTGTAGTGACTCCTGTAGCAGTTTCCAAAGTAAAAAAGTCAATAGAATGTCTGCAAACTTTCCACGAACCTTCAACGAACTTTTGCCTACAGAATGCCTGGTGGTTCAAAAAATATAAAAAACTGTTATAGTATAATGATAATATTCCCTTCCGAAATTTTTTATATTGAAAGTAAGTAGGAAATTCGATCCGTGGAAGGTAAACCACGGATACCTTCCACGGATCGAATTTCCTACTTACTTTCAATATAAAAAACTGTTATTCCTAAATTTGTAAGTGTCCGCCGAAGGTCCGCAAAAAATTTGTAGACACTCTGCAGACTTTTTTACTTGGTTTTCCTGAGAATTCCCGGTATGGGTACCAAGGAAATTCTTTAAGTTTCAAACCGATCACAGATTACTTTTCGTCTCCTTTTAAAAGTGAATAAAAATTTTTTAGTGCCAATCACCAGAGAGCATCCAAAAACATCGATTTTATTTTTCGTCAAATTCTTCTTGAAATGTAACCAAATATAATAAATATAATTAATAGATAATTAAAAAATATTAAAGATAGGTATTAATCAATATAATTAAATATAGGTACTTATTAGTTATAAACTGTAATTATAATTGTATACACTTCTTAGAGAAATTTGAGAAACATAACCTATGATCGTTCTGACTTGGAAAGAATTTCTCGAAAATCATTACCGAAGAATGAATCTAATCCCGGAGTTCTGCATATTAAAAATCTCCCTAGAGTCCTAGAATTTTGTGCATTGTATTTTTTTTCGACATTCCGAGATTTCCTTAATACATAAAATGTTTTTTATATAACAATACTTATTGGAGAAATGTGACTTCCAAAGCATAATTTAATTTTTGGTGTGATTAATGAGTGTTAGATTATATATTATTTAAATAATCTAAGATCGAAATTTTAGCACCAAAAATGTGCTTCTAAATTGAAGTGTCGTTCGTACAAGATTTTACTGGAATTATGCACAGTATATATATATTTAAAGATATATATAGCCCATTAGGATTTCATGAAAATCACAACATTACGGACAAGCTTTAAGTAAATAACAAATATTACTTGCTTTTAGTATGGTATATTTAATTTATTTGATCTAGAATTAATTGCCCCATTATTCATCATGATATTAAGATTATAAATGCCTTCCGACAAAAACTATACACTGCAAATAATAAAAAAATAATATATGTTCCAATTGGACAAAAAAATATTTACGTTCAAGAAACGTTTCTGAAACATTTTAAAACGTTTCATGTCTGCCCAATAACGTACTATTAACGTTTCATGTTCTAAAAACGGTTTTAGATCATGAAACGTTTCTAAAATGGTTATTTGGAAAAC